AACCCGGCCTGGGATTGGTTTAAACCCGGCCCCGTACCGACCACTTACGAGTGGTTCAGACTGTCACAAGCTGTTAATAAACTTAACATTAACGACTTGTTAACTCATTCCAGTTGTTCACTAATGGCGCTGAACAGGCTTTCTAAAGTCAATGTGGCACATTTGGGTACTCGCTTTCCATCTGTGTCCCCTTATTCGTGTTCTACCCCTCCCCCCCCCCCTTGCTAAATAGCCTGTCCTTGTCTGATCTGTCAGTTCCCCTGAGTATTTTCTATGTAGTAATCATGTCCTCCATGTATGTGTTAATATTGTCATATACACAGAGGCAGGCTGATAGACGAGAAAGCAGGCAGGCAGGCAGGCTGATAGATGAGAAGACAGACAGACAGGCTGGCTGATAGACGGTAAGACAGACAGACAGACAGGTTGGCTGATAGACGGGAAGACAGACAGACAGGCTGATAGACGGGAAGACAGACAGACAGGCTGATAGACGGGAAGACAGACAGACAGGCGAGCAAGGAAAGCAGGTAGACAGAAAGGGAGAGAGAGAGAGGGGGGGGGGAGGTGAGACAGGCAATCAGGCAGGAACTGTTGCTTGCCGTGTTGCTATCATTGATTACTTCCATCCTCCCCTCCCTTACCCTTACCTTTACCCCTCCCTTTCCTCCCTTCCCAGGACGTTGATGTAACCCTCCCCTTCCCACCTTCCCCTTTCCATTGCCCTGGGGGAAGAGGAAGGAAAGTGGTGGAAGTAAACTGGCTGATTCAAGGACGTTACCTATCTACTTGCCCTACCTCTCTATCTTACCCATTTGCCTTATCTATCTTACCCATCTGCCTTATCTATCATATCCATCTGCCTTATCTATCTATCTTATCCATCTGCCTTATCTATCTTACCCATCTGCCTTACCTATCTATCTTATCCATCTGCCTTATCTATCTTACCCATCTGCCTTACCTATCTATCTTATCCATCTGCCTTACCTATCTATCTTACCCATCTGCCTTATCTATCTATCTTACCCATCTGCCCTACCTGTCTATCTTACCCATCTGCCTTATCTATCTTATCCATCTGCCTTACCTACATATCTTTTGGGGTGTTGTGTGGCTGTTTTCTGTTGATTCACAGGTGTTTGGGTTGATTTCAGAAAATGGGGAAGGTGCTCGGCCGAGTCCTAGGGGCGCTCGGCCAAGTCCCCGTGTTAAAACGTTTCTTTGTCTACCCTATCGTTTCACCTGAGAATTTTGTATGTGGTGATCATGTCACCTACCCTCCTAACTCTTTCGTCTTCAGCGACGTGAAGTTCAATTCACTACAGACTTTTTTCGTAACTCGTACTCACAATTCTGGAACTAGTTTGGTAGCATACATTTTGAGCCTTCTCTAATTTGGTCTTGTGTTTGATTAGATATGGACTAAATCGACGACCGGGCCGCGGAGACGCTAAGCCCCGAAAACACCTCAAGGTAACCTCGAGGTAAGGTGGACTCCATGCTGGAGTCCCACATTCCAGGATTGGTCTGACATAGGTGATTTACAAGGTTATAAATTAGTCCTTATGCATGTTGCTAAAGGCAGTTCTGATATTAGCCAGTCTTGCGTATGCCGCTAATGATATCCTCTTGATGTGAGCTTCAGGAGACAGATTAAGTGTGATATCAACTCCTTAGATCTTTCCCTCTGTTATGGAGGATGTCATATCCCATTTGGTACCTTGTGTCAAGCTCCTGGTCCTTCCACCTAGCTTAATTACACTTACTTGAGTTAAACTCTAGTAGCCATTCGTTGGTGTATTCTACTATAGTTCTAGATAAGGTGTCGGCAGCCTTCGAGTATCTCCAATACTTCTTCTCTAGGGTGTCTGAGACAAAGGTCAGAACCTGTGTTAAACCTGTGTGTCAGAACCTGTGTTAAACCTGTGTCTTCGTATGACTAATGATGGTCCTGAAGTGCAAGGAAGTCCCCAAGAAGCTCACTGGGAAGGAGAAAGGAGTTTGGAACAGCTTTGGCTCAATGGTTCGACGGCATCCTGGGGAATCAAGACCGAAACTTATGTTGACCTGAAGACCAAACCACACGCCAGATGAGACGACGATAACGTTTCGGTCCGTCCTGGACCAATATGTGTGACCATCGACTTGATAGTAGTTCAGGACGGACCGAAACTTTCGTCGTCTCGCCCAACCACTTGGGCTGGACGGTAGAGCCGGTGGTCTAGGTTCATGCAGGTCGGCGTTCAATCCCCCGACCGTCCAAGAAGTGGTTAGGCACCATTCATTTAACCCCCTCCCCCCCCCGGTCCCATCCCAATCCTTTTCCTGACCCGTTCCAAGTGCTATAGAGTCGTAATGGCTTGGCGCTTTCCCCCCCTGATAGTTCCCTCCCTCCCCTCGTCATCTTCTGGTATGGTTTGATCATCATGTCATCAGCCACGTTGTTGTGACTCATCATCTGGCCACGATGAGGTGGTTGAGACAGGCCAAGACCTACAGACAGTGGGTCTCAAGGAGCCACTCAAGAGTCCATATCTTCCATTCTTGTGTCGATATTCCAGTCCATCTTTTTGTTTACATAATACACGAGGATCTACTAACGTGGATTCAATGGATTTAGTAAATATGTATCGTGTGTGTGTGTGTGTGTGTGTGTGTATATATATATATATATATATATATATATATATATATATATATATATATATATATATATATTGGCGTAATGGTCAGTTAGAAAGTAGAATTTGGTACTGTTAAATTTTGACAAACTCTAAAAGGTTTTGTATATCTGTTGCTAATACACCCTAACCTAACCACCCTAGGCCTAATTCATGCTATCTTATCTTGAGGTTATCTTGAGATGATTTCGGGGCTTTAGTGTCCCCGCGGCCCGGTCCTCGACCAGGCCTGCACCCCCAGGAAGCAGCCCGTGACAGCTGACTAACTCCCAGGTACCTATTTACTGCTAGGTAACAGGGGCATTCAGGGTGAAAGAAACTTTGCCCATTTGTTTCTGCCTCGTGCGGGAATCGAACCCGCGCCACAGAATTACGAGTCCTGCGCGCTATCCACCAGGCTACGAGGCCCCTGAGGCCTACTATAGTACATATATGTACTATACTAAGCCTAAGAATGTTTAAGCTTTGTTTTTAGCTTAATTTCCCCCCCCCCCCCCCCATGCTCTATGAAGTGAATAGTACCAAATTTGATCTTAATTATTCATTACATCAATACGTGTTTGATAGTTCACGTGGTTAGAGAATAGTACTATCTAAAAGGGACGATGGGTCGGGGTAGAAGTCACAGCACCGCTCCTGTGCCAGGTAAGTCCACTACGGGCTCACCATAGCCCGTGCTACTTGCCCCGCTCCTGTGCCGGGTAAGTCCACTACGGACTCACCATAGCCCGTGCTACTTGCCCCGCTCCTGTGCCAGGTAAGTCCACTACGGGCTCACCATAGCCCGTGCTACTTGCACCGCTCCTGTGCCAGGTAAGTTCACTACGGGCTCACCATAGCCCGTGCTACTTTGGAACTTTTGTTCTAAGTAGCTGAATCTAAAAACAGCAATGGGTCGGGGGTACATTATAGAAGGAGGAATCGGAGCATAAGGAACAGGTAAATTCAGGTAAACTTCAACTAGGGTATACTGATACAGTATACAGTATACCACGATGGGAAACTACATTTGTGGGACGATTTGAGCGAGAGATTTTCACTCTAATCATTATACTCGAAAACTACTCTGCTTCTAAATTTTTTTTTTTTTTTTGTGTATAAATGGTAATTTTGATCCCTATTTGATTTTGAAAGGGCCTCGTAGCCTGGTGGATAGCGCGCAGGACTCGTAATTCTGTGGCGCGGGTTCGATTCCCGCACGAGGCAGAAACAAATGGGCAAAGTTTCTTTCACCCTGAATGCCCCTGTTACCTAGCAGTAAACAGGTACCTGGGAGTTAGTCAGCTGTCACGGTCTGCTTCCTGGGGGTGGAGGCCTGGTCGAGGACCGGGCCGCGGGGACACTAAAAAGCCCCGAAATCATCTCAAGATAACCTCTCAAGATAACCTATGTTATTTTGGTTCTGATTTCATGTGAACTATTTAAGAATGGTTTGCTATCTTCTTTCATAGCTAGTTAATGGTGTTGACTTTATGATGTGTAGTGCCTCGCTGATGTCGAGTCTCCAGCTATCGCTGTATTTATCGATGATTTCTGTGTTGCTTATTATAAACAAACTTGAGACTGTAAGACGTGGTTTTGTTTTTAAATGGCTCCGGCAACCAAGAGGCCTGGTCGACGACCGGGCCGCGGGGACGCTAAGCCCCGGAAGCACCTCAAGGTAACCTTATCTTGTGTACTCCCCAACCAGTTCCGTAGTCGCTGTGGGTGATAACATGTTAAAAGTAGTTTATTCCCCATTTTGAGGTATGCCCCCAACCAGTTTATTCCCCATTTTGAAGTATGTCCCCAATCAGTTTATTCCCCATTTTGAGGTATGTCCCCAATCAGTTTATTCCCCATTTTGAGGTATGTCCCCAATCAGTTTATTCCCCATTTTGAGGTATGTCCCCAATCAGTTTATTCCCCATTTTGAGGTATGTCCCCAATCAGTTTATTCCTCATTTTGAGGTATGTCCCCAACCAGTATATTCCCCATTTTGAGGTATGTCCCCAACCAGTATATTCCCCAATTTATTTTCCATCCGGCTCATTTCTCACTCGGTGCGTCTAAATTGTCCACGTTCACGTAATCTGAATCCATTATCCGGATTCTCGCTCATCCGGACACAGACGTGGTTACCACTTGTTCCTCCGGCCTCATCCGGCTTCTGAGGTTCCTAATGAGCTTTCCTGCACCAGCCTGGTTCCTTTAAACCGGATTTTTCCCTTTCTAATTCGGATTAATTTTCCCCCCTGTCTCTCCTGTGTGGCGCGTCTCACAACCGGATTACTTCTTTCTGAAGGTTTATCAGTCTTTCTCCTGCTTCTCTTTCTCTAGTTATCATTCTTATCTACTTTCTCCTTCGTTCTCCGGCGCCTGTGGTCTCTGGGGGATTCCTCTGGCTCCTGTGGTCTCTGGGGGGCTTCCTCTGGCTCCTGTGGTCTCTGGGGGGCTTCCTCTGGCGCCTGTGGTCTCTGGGGGGCTTCCTCCGGCTCCTGTGGTCTCTGGGGGGCTTCCTCCGGCTCCTGTGGTCTCTGGGGGGCTTCCTCCGGCGCCTGTGGTCTCTGGGGGGCTTCCTCTGGCGCCTGTGGTTTTTGGGGGCTTCCTCTGGCTCCTGTGGTCTCTGGGGGGCTTCCTCTGGCTCCTGTGGTCTCTGGGGGGCTTCCTCTGGCGCCTGTGGTCTCTGGGGGGCTTCCTGTGGTCTCTGGGGGGCTTCCTCCGGCTCCTGTGGTCTCTGGGGGGCTTCCTCCGGCGCCTGTGGTCTCTGGGGGGCTTCCTCTGGCGCCTGTGGTTTTTGGGGGGCTTCCTCTGGCTCCTGTGGTCTCTGGGGGGCTTCCTCTGGCTCCTGTGGTCTCTGGGGGGCTTCCTCCGGCGCCTGTGGTCTCTGGGGGGCTTCCTCTGGCTCCTGTGGTCTCTGGGGGGCTTCCTCTGGCTCCTGTGGTCTCTGGGGGGCTTCCTCTGGCGCCTGTGGTCTCTGGGGGGCTTCCTCTGGAGCCTGTGGTCTCTGGGGGGCTTCCTCTGGCGCCTGTGGTCTCTGGGGGGCTTCCTCTGGCTCCTGTGGTCTCTGGGGGGCTTCCTCTGGCTCCTGTGGTCTCTGGGGGCTTCCTCCGGCTCCTGTGGTCTCTGGGGGGCTTCCTCTGGCTCCTGTGGTCTCTGGGGGCTTCCTCTGGCTCCTGTGGTCTCTGGGGGGCTTCCTCTGGCGCCTGTGGTCTCTGGGGGGCTTCCTCTGGCGCCTGTGGTCTCTGGGGGGCTTCCTCTGGCGCCTGTGGTCTCTGGGGGGCTTCCTCTGGCGCCTGTGGTCTCTGGGTGGCTTCCTCTGGCGCCTGTGGTCTCTGGGGGGCGTGACCTCTGGTCCTGTGGTCTCTGGGGGAGTGACCTCTGGTCCTGTGGTCTCTGGGGGGCTTCCTCTGGCTCCTGTGGTCTCTGGGGGGCTTCCTCTGGCTCCTGTGGTCTCTGGGGGGCTTCCTCTGGCTCCTGTGGTCTCTGGGGGGCTTCCTCTGGCGCCTGTGGTCTCTGGGGGGCTTCCGCCGGCGCATGTGGTCTATGGGGGGCTTCCTCCGGCGCCTGTGGTCTCTGGGGGGCTTCCGCCGGCGCATGTGGTCTATGGGGGGCTTCCTCCGGCGCCTGTGGTCTCTGGGGGGCTTCCTCCGGCGTCTGTGGTCTCTGGGGAGCTTCCTCTGGCTCCTGTGGTCTCTGGGGGGGGCTTCCTCCGGCGCCTGTGGTCTCTGGGGGGCTTCCTCCGGCGTCTGTGGTCTCTGGGGGCTTCCTCCGGCTCCTGTGGTCTCTGGGGGGCTTCCTCTGGCTCCTGTGGTCTCTGGGGGGCTTCCTCCGGCTCCTGTGGTCTCTGGGGGGCTTCCTCCGGCTCCTGTGGTCTCTGGGGGGCTTCCTCTGGCGCCTGTGGTCTCTGGGGGGCTTCCTCTGGCGCCTGTGGTCTCTGGGGGCTTCCTCTGGCTCCTGTGGTCTCTGGGGGGCTTCCGCCGGCGCATGTGGTCTATGGGGGGCTTCCTCCGGCGCCTGTGGTCTCTGGGGGGCTTCCGCCGGCGCATGTGGTCTCTGGGGGGCTTCCTCCGGCGCCTGTGGTCTATGGGGGGCTTCCTCCGGCGCCTGTGGTCTCTGGGGGGCTTCCGCCGGCGCATGTGGTCTATGGGGGCTTCCTCCGGCGCCTGTGGTCTATGGGGGGCTTCCTCCGGCGCCTGTGGTCTATGGGGGGCTTCCTCCGGCGCCTGTGGTCTATGGGGGGCTTCCTCCGGCGCCTGTGGTCTATGGGGGGCTTCCTCCGGCGCCTGTGGTCTATGGGGGGCTTCCTCCGGCGCCTGTGGTCTATGGGGGGCTTCCTCCGGCGCCTGTGGTCTATGGGGGGCTTCCTCCGGCGCCTGTGGTCTATGGGGGGCTTCCTCTGGCGCCTGTGGTCTCTGGGGGCTTCCTCTGGCGCCTGTGGTCTCTGGGGGCTTCCTCTGGCGCCTGTGGTCTCTGGGGGGCTTCCTCCGGCGCCTGTGGTCTATGGGGGCTTCCTCCGGCGCCTGTGGGCTATGGGGGGCTTCCTCTGGCGCCTGTGGTCTCTGGGGGCTTCCGCCGGCGCATGTGGTCTCTTCGGGGCTTCCTCCGGCGCCTGTGGTCTATGGGGGGCTTCCTCCGGCGCCTGTGGTCTCTGGGGGGGCTTCCGCCGGCGCATGTGGTCTATGGGGGGCTTCCTCCGGCGCCTGTGGTCTATGGGGGGCTTCCTCCGGCGCCTGTGGTCTATGGGGGGCTTCCTCCGGCGCCTGTGGTCTATAGGGGGGGCTTCCTCCGGCGCCTGTGGTCTATGGGGGGCTTCCTCCGGCGCCTGTGGTCTATGGGGGGCTTCCTCCGGCGCCTGTGGTCTATGGGGGGCTTCCTCTGGCGCCTGTGGTCTCTGGGGGCTTCCACAGGCGCCTGTGGTCTCTGGGGGGCTTCCTCCGGCTCCTGTGGTCTCTGGGGGGCTTCCTCCGGCGCCTGTGGTCTCTGGGGGCTTCCTCCGGCGCCTGTGGTCTCTGGGGGCTTCCTCTGGCTCCTGTGGTCTCTGGGGGGCTTCCTCTGGCTCCTGTGGTCTCTGGGGGGCTTCCTCCGGCGCCTGTGGTCTCTGGGGGGCTTCCTCTGGCGCCTGTGGTCTCTGGGGGGCTTCCTCCGGCTCCTGTGGTCTATGGGGGGCTTCCTCCGGCGCCTGTGGTCTATGGGGGCTTCCTCCGGCGCCTGTGGTCTATGGGGGGGCTTCCTCTGGCTCCTGTGGTCCCTGGGGGCTTCCTCCGGCGCCTGTGGTCTCTGGGGGGGCTTCCTCTGGCTCCTGTGGTCTCTGGGGGCTTCCTCCGGCGCTTGTGGTCTTGGGGGCTTCCTCCTGGCCTCGGACCGGGCTTGGGGATTAGAAGAACTCCCAGAACCCCGTCAAGCCGGACCTGGAGCCGATCTAGAGCGCTGTAACCGCACCGAGTCTGGAAGGTTGGGGGAGGGGGAGATGGGGGTGAGAGGAGGGGGTGATGGGAGAGTGCCAGAGGGGAGACGGAGCGTGAAGGTGTCCCTCAGCCAGGGCCACTGTGGGAGTGCCAAGGTGGCACTCCCATCACACTAACCTGTGGTGAGGCGGGTCCCCTCACGGCCACTACAGTGTACGGTGTCCTCGGTGGTGGTAGTAGTGACCTACGGTGTATATTGGCCTTAAAAGTAGTGACCAACTGCAGCGGAATTATATTCACTTACTTTATGGTTTAGTCCATCCCAATTTGGAGCGATAATAACCGTATAGTTTTTTCTCAGAGATCGTGATTACCAGAGATGGAGAGAGGGAGGGAGTTGGGTAGATGGTGGGAGGTAGATAGGTAGATAAGAGGGAGGTAGGTAGATAGAGGGAGGGAGATAGGTAGATAGAGGGAGAGAGGGAGGTAGATGGATTGTATTCACCTCAACCACCAATTAACTGTAATTGTTCCAGCAGTTTACAAGCGTCGGACAAGACCATCACTTCTAAGCACAGCCAAACCTTGTCATAAAGGTAATTGACCAGTAATGACGACGGCCCTCGCTGCCTGCAGGTCCGCGTTCGATCCCCGGTGTCCCCCAAGTGCTTGAGGCAATGGGGCTGACTTGAACCCATTTCTGGTGATTCCCAGAACGCGGTTGTTATGATGGGAAAGGGGGGGGGTAGTACTGGAGATAACATAGCTATCTTGATTATAGACGCAGGTGGTTGGAATGGTGGTTGGAATGGTTGGTGAAGTGGCTGGTTGGTTGGTGGCCCCGTGTAAGTAGTTAGGATTTTATTGGTTGAGATTCTAGTTGAGTGTGAGAGAGGTTGAGTGTGTGTGTGTGTGGGGGGGGGGACAGCCTTTAGCGTACATTTGTGAGTGCTTCAGTGAGTGCCTCAATGCTTGAGAGTTCGTATGTGTTAATTTGCTAGCTTACCCGTGAGTGCGTTTGCGTGCATGTGCGTACTGGTCAGTAGGTGCGTTTGCGTGCATGCGTACCTTGCTGCGAGTGCGTTTGTGTGCATTTGGGTACCGGTCAGTGGGAGCGCTTGCGTGCATGCGTACCTTGCTGTGGGTGAGCTTGCGTGCATGCGTACCTTGCTGTGGGTGAGCTTGCGTGCATGCGTACCTTGCTGTGGGTGAGCTTGCGTGCATGCGTACCTTGCTATGGGTGAGCTTGCGTGCATGCGTGCCCGAGAGTGCGCTTGAGCCTGTGAGTGCATTTGGTGGTAGTTTGGACCAATAAGTGGTTCTCAGAAGCGAGAACTCTTAACAACCTTTCTCGGAGTCTCTTTCCTTAAATACCTAACTCTCTCTCTCTCTCTCTCTCTCTCTCTCTCTCTCTCTCTTAGAGATGTAAGGAGTGAAGAGAGGTGGTGAGGGAAAGATTAAGAGGGTAGAGATGAGGGAGAAGGGGGGGGAGAGGGGATGGAGGGGAAGTGATGCCTCAGGAGGAAAGGAAGGAAGCAGGCTAATGAATGAACGAGTTGGGATAGAAGACACAGATACGTCCTTGTTCTCCCCTCCCCCTCCTTCCACCACCACCCATCTATCCTACCAGCATCACCACCACCACCTGTCTCTCCCCCACCACCACTACAACTACCCCTTAACCACTCTTACTGGAAAAAAAGTGCCAGAAATACAACCGCACAAGATCGCAATGACTGAAACGAAACTAACAAACGTTACGTGAAATGTAATCTGCCCAAGAGAGCATCAAGTAACAAGGAGAGAGAGAGAGATGATGCATAGAGGTGGAGGAGGTGGTGTAGCTCTGTTGTCACAGCTACACTAAGAGTTCTGAAGAAGTAAAACTACAAGGCGAATATATATATACCGGTATATGTATATACGACCAGCAGGAGTATATACCAGGAATATCAACAGTTGGAAAGCGGGAAGATAGTGGTCTCTGCGATTGACAAACCTCCGACCAAACGACAGGAGGCCTAGAGACAGTTACAATACAAATATATGTAATACAAATCGTCTAAAAGTAATTTTAAAAGTGGCTACTGTACCAGTGGGAGGGAACAAAAGTTACACTGGTGATAATCTTGGGGACTTCAACCGCAGGGAATTAGACTGGGAAAACATAGATCCCCACGCGGGGCGTGACGCGAAGCGTGGAGGGCCAAACTGTTAGGCAAGGTACACACACACACACACACACACACACACACACACACACACACACACACACACACACACACACTTAGGGGCCTCGTAGCCTGGTGGATAGTGCGCAGGACTCGTAATTCTGTGGCGCGGGTTCGATTCCCGCACGAGGCAGAAACAAATGGGCAAAGTTTCTTTCACCCTAAGTGCCCCTGTTACCTAGCAGTAAATAGGTACCTGGGAGTTAGTCAGCTGTCACGGGCTGCTTCCTGGGGGGGTGGAGGCCTGGTCGAGGACCGGGCCGCGGGGACACTAAAAAGCCCCGAAATCATCTCAAGATAATCATCTCAAGATAACCTCAAGATATGTAGACTCGATATCATCATGAGATAACTGAATGTACGAAGGCGAAGAGTTAAGTTCATCCCTGTTTGCACATCCACCTCAAGATAACCTCAAGATAACATCTAGGTGAGTACACGCAGACAGGCACTAGTGGAGTCCCACAGGGCTCAGTCCTTGAAGCTATCCTGTTTCTGATACATGTAAACGATCTCCCAGAGGGAATAGACTCGTTCCTCTCAGTGTTTGTTGTTGATGCAAAAATTATGTGGAGAAAGGCCGAGGAAGATGGCAAGAGGATTCAAGATGACCGTCGAGCCTGGCTTCGGGCCGGGCTTGGGGAGTAGAAGAACTCCCAGAACCCCATCAACCAGGTATCAACCAGACCTAGACAAGCTGAAAGAATTGTCCAACAAATGTCTACTGAAGCTCAACTCCAGTATATGCAATAGGCTCAAGAACCTGTGTACCCCCTGGATAAGGGGCCTCGTAGCCTGGTGGATAGCGCGCAGGACTCGTAATTCTGAGGCGCGGGTTCGATTCCCGCACGAGGCAGGAACAAATGGGCAAAGTTTCTTTCACCCTGAATGCCCCCTGTTACCTAGCAGTAAATAGGTACCTGGGAGTTAGTCAGCTGTCACGGACTGCTTCTTGGGGGGGGGTGGAAAAAAAAAGTAGTTAGTAAACAGTTGATTGACAGTTGAGAGGCGGGACCAAAGAGCTAAACCTCAACCCCCGCAAACTCAATTAGACGAGCACGCACGCACGCACAATAAACTCAAAAACTCTGCAATCACATTATTGTTGAGTAGGATAGAGCCTGGAGCGTCAGTCACTACAGTGTGATTGATCACTGGGGTGTTGTGATTGATCACCGGGGTGCTGTGATTGATCACCGGGGTGTTGTGATTGATCACCGGGGTGTTGTGATTGATCACCGGGGTGCTGTGATTGATCACCGGGGTGCTGTGATTGTTCATCGGGGTGTTGTGATTGTTCATCAGGGTGTTGTGATTGATCACCGGGGTGCTGTGTAAGCGTGTTGACACCGCGCGCGCGCGTCAGTTGGCCGCCCGGTAACATGGCCGCCAAATTCAAATATTCAAATATTACCCGTTGTTGTGATAAACACATTTCTGACTACTGAGACACAAGTTACGTTCTTTCGTCAAATATGACATCAGAAAACACACAGTTGCTTGTGAAAGCTGTTAGAGTGAGTTTAATTGGTAATTATGGTTGTTAGACTCGTAACTAAACCAGTGGAGGCATTGGTGATTTAATATTAATGAAATCGGACTAATGTGATGTATGCCAATTAGGAGACCAGTTTGAGCAATGCGGGGGGAGTCGAACCCGCGATCTTTGACCAGAGTGCATATCTTGAGATCTTGAGGTTATCTTGAGATGATTCCTGGGCTTTTAGTGTCCCCGCGGCCCGGTCCTCGACCAGGCCTCCACCCCCAGGAAGCAGCCCGTGACAGCTGACTAACACCCAGGTACCTATTTACTGCTAGGTAACAGGGGCATAGGGTGAAAGAAACTCTGCCCATTGTTTCTCGCCGGCGCCTGGGATTGAACCCAGGACCACAGGATCACAAGTCCCGCGAGCTGTCCGCTCGGCCGACCGACTCCCTTGCATGGCGGGTTATGTGTACAACTTTAGTCTGGCTTCAAAC